TATTACCGTACAGGGGTTAATATAGTATCACACAACTATACAGTTCCAGTTTGATCCTGAACAAGCCCACTTAACCAAACGAAGCGCACAACCATCCCAGCATGGAACAAGCACTAGATCATCCCCGAGTGAACAAGAGATATCACCATCAATAACTCTCCCAAACCTGCCCATCAATCGCCACCAACCGATTAAACAAATCATTCCTCGTCTTCATAGCAGTCAACTGATACCTCTCCTGCGGCCCCTTCCCAACAATAACCAACCCATCCACGACCTCCTTCCCACCAACCGCCCACCCAGCCGCCAACTTCCCCTTCCACCCCAGCCCCCCAATCTTCCTCAACTCCACAATATCCGTAACCGGAAATGCAAACAACACAGACTTATTCCCCTTCTTGTCCCGCACACTCTGGTCCTCCGCCATCGACGCTGGATCCGTCGTAAAGTACATCACAGGCGGATCCTGCATCGCGTCGAGCATCACCGCGCCGCGTTTACCATGGTACCGCGCGTCGAAATGCACGGGGCCCCGCGGGACGATGGTCTGGCCTTTGCGTCGGAGGACACCTACGCGGCTTTTTGCGTGCCGTGACCCTACTGCTGCTCGGGCTCGGTCCACTGCTAGCTTGCTTTGGAGCCCTGTGGACGTGGTTCCGCGGAAGAAGTTGACTAGGCCTGACATGAAGGTGTGTTTGGGCTTGGGCTCGTCTGTGGCGGTCTCTTCGTGGGGGGTGGAGCCGGGCGGTGCGGGAGATGCGGCGTCGTGGATTTCTTCGTTGGAGGCTCCGAGTTGGAGATCGTTGGTGCTGATTCGGATGGGTTCTGATGGTGGGCGTGCGTCCTTCTGTTTGTCTCCGGGGGGTGGGGGAATGGGGGAGTCGTTTGCTTCGCCGCTGCGGAGGAGGGTTAGGGTTAGTTGGGCGTTTGTGGGGATGCCTTTCAGGAGGGAGCTGTGTGTGGATTGTTAGCATGGCTGAAGAGGAAGTTGAGTTGGAGGAGGGAGGGGGAGGGAGATTGACTTCTCTAGTAGCAGGCTCTTTCGCCAGAGTGGGTACTTGTCGTCCAAGTATTCCATTCCGCGCTGCATGACCGGGTCTCCGAAGAAACTGAACCCAGTCACCAGAGTAGTGCCCTTGACGAACAAGTAGCTAGATGTCACGAGCGACACTGCGAAAGCAAGAGCCAGGACGCACGAGAAACGTAAATAAGGCGTGAACGAAGAAAAGGGCGGCGTCGGCGAAAGCGCACTATCACCACATTAACAAATTAGGCCGGCAGTCCAACAACGCCCATCCGAGGCCATACGTACTTAGCAAACCGCTCATACGTATCAACAGTATCATTCACACCACGCATCAACTGTATAGCCGTATCAAACACGGCCGCCTTCATAGGCTGTCTCGTCTTGTCGTGCGTCTTCTCAGGGACCTCCCCATGCACAGAAGCATGCGCATCCGCCGCATCAGAAACCACGTCCATCACATCTGGGGCGGATTTCTCCATGGGCGCGTCGTCAGGCGTCCCTTGGTCATGTTTCCCTGTGACGCTGCCAGCTGCCACGCTCGCCATGCTGCTCATCAGGTTGCTGGCTTCTTTCTCGGCTGCTTCGCCTTTGAAGTTCTCCGGGGCGCCCGTGATGCTCGAGTGTGAGCCTAGGACGCCGGCTGTTGGTTTCTGCACCCCGCCTGTGTCTTTGTCGACTAGGGGAATGGGGACATGGGGGAAGAGTATTGATCTAGATGGAGGGTATATAACTAGGGCAAGGAGAACGCTGAATAGAGTGGGCGCGAGCAGGTCCAGAAACCATGCGACGAAGTAGACCTGCATCATACCGTTAGCCCCATGATAGTAATTTGAAGACCCTAAGAGCACCAGCATACAAAGCAAAACACCGAAGTCCGACGCGGCTCCCTCCACGATCGTAACCTAGCAACATGCTTGACAAACCCAGCAAGCTCCACAACAACAACAGTGTAGAACCGCTCTATAGTAGCGCGCAACTTATCCGGCGAGAAATCCTCATCGGCCGCGCGATTGAGATCCAGGCTCTGCGCAAGTGATTCGGGCACGCTTTTGACGCAGTATATTTGCTTTCTCAGGTCAGTATTCCTGCCCTACTGCGGGTGTCGATGTGGAGACACACTTTATTGAATCGTCTGATAAGCATCCAGAGGTCTTCATTTGACAGACCAGACACAATTCGCTTTTCGAATTCATGAGGAGATGCTCCCCAGCCAATGTCGGATGTGTTATCGATGGGGCCTACATGTGGTTTTTGTGAGAGGCCCTTTTCGTCTTGTTCGACTTGGGATAGGATGTGGCTGTCGGTTGGACCGGTGGGCTGGTTTCCTACCGCGTCCATATTACCTATTTTTGTAACAGCTGCTATTAGAATGGAATCTGCAAAGGAAGATTGCTTCAAGAAAAAGAGACCATTATATATTATAACACAAAATCAGGAAATATTCGCCCTGGCGAGTGTCTCAACCAAGGTATCATGCACGGAACCCGGACAACGACGTCATCAACATGTTTTTGCTGGAATATGGGCATGTTTGGTGTTACTTTCAACCAAGAAAAAATTCAAAAGACCAAAGCAATATTTTCAGTAATTGCTCCTATATCTTGGTAGATACAGACTCGGCCATTTCAAGAAATTTTGTCACCTATTTTCTTATACTGCTAGCATACTTTTAATCTGACCAATAAAAAGCACCAATAAACCACGCGCCACGAACGCCACAGTTCCCATGAGCCACAGTTCCCAAAGTGGAAATCCACGCGAAGCTCATTCATGCCGGGGGCGCGTTTCTATCTACAACCTCTTCTATACTCATCACCCTGCAGTTCAACACACTTTGAAAGGGGGATCCAATGATGATTGTCTCTTCTAAATTACCACTCGTTCATAGTCTCCTGGGTGGTTCTGATTGAGAAAACGCTCTCTAGCCGAGTTTGATCCATCAAACCATGGCTGACTCGGAGACCTGCGCGAATCCCCTGTTACTTGGATGGATCAAGGAATGGTTCGATCAGGCGCGAGAGCGTAATAGTAGAGGGGCTACGGTGTCAGTATCTGCGACTCTATACTTCTCAGCCAAATATGGCGCTGACGGTCTTAGATACAAAAAAGCGTACGAGTCTATGAAAGCATGCCCACTGAGCTTCCAGCATCCGTCGGAAGCGCAGCAGCTGAACGGGCTGGGTCCTAAACTTTGTGATCGTCTCACAGAGAAGTTGAAGGCCTACTGCTTGGAGAACGGGCTTCCGGAGCCGGAGCATCCTCAGAAACGTTGGTTTGCAGGTCCTGATAGAGAGCCATCGCAGCATTCTGACATTCTACAGAATCCAGCAAAAGGAACCCTAGAGAAGCCACAGAAGAAGTGGAGTCCCAGCCTGCGAAGAGAACGCGAAAGGCGAAGCCCTATGTACCGTCGTTACGGTCGGGTCCATATGCCTTGATCATCGGCTTATCGAGCCTCGAGGAGGATTCGTCGCAGAGCCTGACCAAGGCGCAACTGATTGAGAAAGCAGAGCCGTATTGCGATACCTCCTTCACGGCTCCGAGCGATCCAACTAAGTATTTCACTGCGTGGAGCTCCATGAAGACTTTGATCCAGAAGGATTTTGTTTATGAGCATGGGCATCCGCTCAAGAGATACGCTCTGACTGAGGAGGGGTGGGAGGTCGCGAAGAGGATCCGACAGACTCTTCCGGGTGGTGGCCAGCAGAACTCCATGTCATCGGGCATCTCTCAGGTAAGAAGTGTCTGGCTTGCAGATATCGCGGATTCTGACCCGAGTAGGATGCGAATGGCACCACTGCCGAGTCTCAAGAGTCGGGAGTATCCATGGCCTCTCTAGAGCCCTATGACGACAACGAAACCCAAGACCGTGACAACGACTGGGGAGGAGACTCAGAATATGATGGCCCCGTCACACCAATCAACCTCCCACCAGGAAGCTTCACCGTCCAGCTGGTCCTGGACAACCGCGAAGTCCGCACCTCCAAAGACAGAGACTACATCTCCAACGAACTAGACAAAAAGGGCATAATACCAGAAGTCCGCTCCCTCGAACTAGGCGACGCAATGTGGGTAGCCAAATGCCACGACCCGGCATTCCTCTCACAGCACGGCGAAGAAGGCGACGAGGTAATGCTCGACTGGATCGTCGAGCGCAAGCGCCTCGACGACCTCATCGGATCCATCAAAGATGGCCGATTCTACGAGCAAAAGTTCCGTCTCCGTCGCTCCGGCATCCGAAACGTCATCTACCTCATCGAGGAGTTCTCCGTCTCCCACGAGACGGGCTCCAAGTACCAAGAGATGGTAGCCTCCGCCATCGCGTCCACCCAAGTCGTCAACGGCTACTTCGTCAAGCAGACCAAAAATCTAGACGACACCATCCGCTACCTCGCACGCATGACCTTCCTCCTGCGCAGCATGTACTGTGCCTCGTCCGAGGACGACACCACCAATTCAACCACAACCACAACCACCCCGTCAACCCCTCTCAACCTCATCCCCAGCCGCCAGCTCTCCTCATCCCAGTCCTACCTCGATACCCTCGAGCGACTGCGCGCAGAAACCCCATCCGCGACCTTCGCCGTGACCTTCCCCTCGTTTTCGGCCCTCACCTCCAAATCGGAGATCCTTACCCTCCGCGACGTCTACCTGAAGATGCTCATGTGTACGCGGGGCGTCACGGGTGAAAAGGCGCTGGAGATTCAACGCAAGTGGCCTACTCCGCAGGCTTTCATCAAAGCGTTTGAGGGCCTAGAGCCGCAGGAAAGGGAGACGATGGTTTCGGAGGAACTGGATGCGATGGTCGGGCGGAGGAAGATTGCTAAGGTTTTGAGTAAGAAGATTGCGGAGGTTTGGGGGGAGGCTGGTTGATGATCATTTGTTTCTTATTGGCCTGAATGTTGTTAATGACTTGATTATTATGATATTAAATGACTTCGTTATCATGATATTAATGCGTACATGTATAATCCAACATCCTATCTCCATGCCAGCCCAAAATGCACCAAATGAACCACATACCCAACATGCAAACAGAAAAATAGAGAAAAAAAAGATCAACGCTTCCCAAACCCCACCAACCTCCTCAACCAATTCCAATCAATCCCCAGCGCAAGACTACTACAAACAACCGAAATACTACTCAACGCCATAGCCAGCGCAGCCCACACGGGCCCCAACCTCCAATGCATATCAACCATAACCATCTCGCCTCCCTCACTCATCCTCCGCTCATGACCACTAACAATGGGGTAAAAGACGCCCGCGGCAACAGGCACAAGAGCCATGTTGTACACGAGCGCCCAGGCAAAGTTCACGCGCACGCGGTTGAACACCCGCCGGCTGAGAACCACTAGGTTGAGAATGGAGTTCAGCTCGGAGTTGAGCAGGATGAAGTCTGCGGAGTTCATGGCTACGTCGGAGCCCGAGGCCATTGCTATGCTGACGTCTGAGGCTGCGAGCGCTGGGGAGTCGTTGACGCCGTCGCCGACGAAGGCGACGACGGGGCGTTTGTGGTTGGTGCTGGAAGAGCGCTGGTTTTCGATTTCGGAAGCGGTGAGAGTGGTGGAGGTAGAGAGAAGTCCGTCTTGGATGCGGCGGACGAAGTCGGCTTTTCCGGCGGGAGTGACGTTTGCGATGATGTTTGTGGGAGGGATGCCGATCATTGAGGCGACCGCTTTGGCGGTTGTTTCGTTGTCGCCCGTGCACATGTATGTTGCGACTTTGCGGGTTTTTTGGAGGTCGGAGATGACTTGCGCTGCTTCGGGGCGGATGGTGTCGGAGATGGCGAAGATGAGGGCTGGGGTGAAGGGTGGGGTGGGTTCGTTGCTGTCGGTGGTGGTTGGTGTTTGGCGGAGGGAGAGGATGGCGGTGGATTTTCCCGCCGCTTGGTATTTGGATAGGACGTTGGAGAGATTGAGGGTGTCGTCTTCGCTGAGTGAGACTACGTTCTCGAGGAGACGCTGGTTGCCAATTGCTGCTTCGTATTGGGTGGTTGCGGTCGTCTCGGACTGGTTCGTGGAGACGGTGAATCTGCCCTTCATTCCCTGTCCGGAGATCTCGTCGATGTCGGCGTCTAAGATCGATACACCGTTCCCCAGTTTCTCGCTGCAGAACTCGAAAATGGCTCGTGCGATGGGGTGGTTGCTGCTCTCCTCGAGCTTCCGCGCCAGAGCCCAGGCGGCCTGCACTTGCTCGGGGGAGGCGACGAGCGACTCGTGGTCGGACACTTTGAGGCTACCCCCCTCGGTTAACGTTCCGGTCTTGTCGAAGACGATAGCATCGAGATTGCTCGCTTCCTGAAACGCCTCGCCGCCGCCCTTGGCGAGAATGCCCTGTTTGGCAGCCAGGCCGCCTCCAACGAAGAGCGCCGTGGGCGCAGCAAGTGCCAGGCCGCAGGGGCACGCGACGACAAAGACAGCTATAGCGAACTCGAGACTCCAGAACGTCCAGCCCCCGCGCGCATTGTCCAGGTAGTCGGCGGGTAGAGCCCCCGACAGCCCCAGGGCCAGCCAGATCACGAAGGTCAGGATGGCGATCAGCGTGATCACGGGCACGAAGTGGGACGTAAGGATGTCTGCGAATCGCTCCAGCGGCGCGCGTCGGCTCTGGCCCTCGCGGACCACGGCGATGATCTGATCCAGCATGGAAGCCGCCCCGAGCGCAGATACCTTAATTTGAACGGGCTGTCCGACGTTCACGGACCCCGTGTACACTGCGTCGCCGGTTTTCTTGCTCACGGGTCTTGACTCTCCCGTCAGAGAGCTTTCGTCGAATTGGTAGGATCCGGGTCCGACGACAACTCCGTCTGCCGGGGGCGATGTGCCGTGGGGGATGCTGACCACGTCGCCGATCTCCAGTAGGTCATAGCTGATCCGCTGGATTTCGCCGCCTCCGGTGACCAACAGTGCTTCCGAAGGCCGCAGTTGCCCGAGCGCTGCGACCGCATCGCCGGTTTTGGCTTTACTGTACGCTTCGATGAGCCGGCCGGCGAGGATGAAAAAGGTCAGGAACACAACCGAATCGAAGTAGTTGGCGCTGTGGGTGTCGGACGATGTGTCTGCCAACGCATCCATGATCAGGACCGCTAGGGAGGAGACGTAAGCCACGGTTGTTCCGGCAGAGATCAAGAGGTTCATGCTTCCGAAGCGATAAAAGCGTCGGAGGACGGGTACACGACTGCCGGGACGCCAGAGAGAGTAGATCTCCTTGATGGCTCGCACGTGGAATAGATCGGCTCCGTATAGCATGACTGGGGTCGCCATGATGAGGAGAGCCCATTCTTGCCGCGAGACGTTGCCGGCCCATATGGGCTGCTCTAGGTACTTTCTGGTTTCGTTTTCGGGCGACACCAGAGTCATGAACACGATTCCGATCACAAAAGTTGGGATGACCACCAGCAAAACGAAAAGAAACCGTGCTAGCAGCCGGCTCTTTGCCTGTCGCTGCATCGCGCGCGAACGGTCCTCGATGCTGGGAGGGTGGTATACCGTCGCGACAAAAGAATCGTGCGCCTTCTCTGCGGCTTGAAGAATCTCTCTGACAGTGAACGACGGAGCATGGGGTGTGTAAGTGACCTTCAAAATTGGGTTCTTGACCGATAAACCGGGGTCCACGCGTATGTCCGGGAGTTTTTCGAGCGCGTTGTACACTTTTTCCGGGCAGTGGTGGCAGAACATGCCATCGATATGAATGGCGATTGACCTGGTCTCGGTTTCGTCGGCGACCGCAGCCGTTGGAGAGACGCTATTGACAGAGACGTCGTACCCTAAGTCCTCGACTTTTTCAGTCAATGTGTCCAGGTTATCGCGCCCCTTAAACTCGACTCTTCCGCCATGTGTTAGAAGATTGATGGAGACGTCCGTCACGAACGGCAGTTCCTGGAGACCTCGGGTTACAGCCCCAACGCAGGAGCCGCAGGTCATGCCGTTGATTGCCAGCTCCGCGACGAAAGTGGACGGCGGGCGTTGATCAGACGGCGAAGCCATCTCCTCGGAACTGACTTCATCCACAGACGCCTCGAATCCAATATCGTCGATCTGCTCAACCACTTTATTGATGTTTTCCTGGGGCCCGCGGTAGACCAACGTTGCGCTATTGGTCAGTAGATTGACGGTCACGTCGAGAACGAAATCGAGATGTTTGACTTCATCGGTGATGGAGTTGACACACGATGCGCAGCTCATTCCCCCGATGCTCACACGGGCACGAAATCTTCCATGGTCTTTCGGCGGCTGTGACGAGGGGGTGACGCGCATGGTGGCCGAGCCTTCAGCCGAGGCCGCATCCGAGACCTGAGGCGCCAGAGGCTCGGTATCCGACAAGCTGTTCCGCTCTTCCTCCGTTCGGTGACAGCTGGGCTGCGCCCTTGACCGGCTGATGCTTCGTTCCAGTGCGGCGGGGTGGGTCGAAGCGATATCGAGTTCTTCTTGTCGACAAGCGTCGCAATTCTCGGCGTGTCTTTGGGCGGATCGGTGGGAAACGGGCTGTGGGTTGGACTGGGGAGAGAAGAGGATGGAGTCTCGGGGGAGCCAGGACGAGGTATCCAAGTCGGAGACGATCGTCCCTTGCAGATCGTAGGTGGTGACATGATGGACCTCAAAAGCAGCTTGTATCAAAGCTGTGGCCAAATCGGAGGGCTTCGTGTCCACCGTGTGGACGGCGCGAACCTCATTCGTAAAGATGGAGACATCGAGCTCGATCAGCCCCGGGATCTCGTCGAGGACTTCTGAGATATATGCCACACACGACGAGCAATGTACATTGCTCACGAAGAAGATACTGCGGAGGCATTGGGTGCCCTGCTCCGCGAGGGCAGACATCATTCCGAGAAGAGAAGAATGTATGTCTTGAGGAAGACTTGTAGAGGGATGTTGTATTTCCTTTATGAGGTAAGATTAGTCACGAGGTTTATCGCAAGTTAAGTTATGGGTCCTGGAAGAAATGGATAACCAAGTTCAGATTTAAGAATGGATCTGACGGGGGATTCCTCTGCTTTTTATCCCCATCCTCCCGAAAAGATGAAGGGACGCGCTTTTTGTGCGTGTGGTGGACATGATTGAGCACGAGACTAAACGACGCACAAATCTCTCATTCCCACTTGGCTCGACAAGCCGGGGAAAGCTACAGAACGGATGCGGTGGCAAACTGGTCCGATCTTATCAATCATCAAATGACCTCATTATCTGAAGATCTCCGATCAACTAGTCCCTTTTTTTCTGTCTCTAGGACTGCTAGTTTTGTTCTGGAATCATGTTGGTTGTCTATGAGATATGTGGTAGTTCGTGACTATATCTGTGTGGTTTATATAGCGCTTCTCACCATAATAACTGACTTCGGAGAATACAAGCTCACACGGACCAACAGAGAAAAAGAAAAGTCAATCAAATTAATAATAAGAAGACCAGACTGTCATCCCCAGCATCATTCGGAGAAAAGAAAATTCTCGACATCTTCTCGATCGGACCCGGAGGGAATCGAACTGACAGCACTGGGGGTGGAGGAAACCTGAGGCAGACCACCCACTCACCACGTGACCCGCCCGCTGGACCACCGAGAGCCGGGAGTGCCTCAGGTTGCCCGCATTCTTCCAGCGCCATCCTCTCCTCTCCTCTCCGCGTCTTCGCTTCTCCCCATCTTCACTCTCTCGATCATCATTGGTATTGGATACTCTTCATCCATCCAGATCAACTAACCCTAGCTACGATCCTCGACCATTTGTCTACGAACTGCTCCTTTGCACTACATCTCGGAAGTCCAACATTCGTTCGTCGTCGTTCTTTCCCATCCACTGGTGGGGCCCTTTTTTCAACTTTTTTTTCTTATCCTACTCCCTTGGTGGCCTGAGGCATCAAACTCAGGACCGATAGAGTCGGACCCATCTCACCTTACATTACATGAATATGAGTCAGCGGTGAAGTGCTATTTCAATCATACCGACATAGCTTAGAAGGAGAAGACGAAGAAGACGGGAAAGATATAGAGGCAGAAAGGAAAAGATCGTCCCACTCAACGATACCAACCACTATCATAATGTCCGCGCCGAGACCTGGGCCTCGTGCGCCAATTCCGCCCAGAAGTGGACCGAGGGCTCCCATGGGTCGTCTAGCCAGTCTCAAAGCTCCCAACCCAACCCCGATTAGACGCCCCCAGCCAATCTCCCGTCCCCAGCCGGCCAGGCCGACCACTCATCCCAAGACTTCAACGTGCCCGAACCCCGGCTGTCCGGCACCCCAGATCGTCGAGGATGATGGCCAGAAGGTGTGTTCGGGCTGTGGTACAGTCATCAGCGAAGCGAATATCGTGTCCGAGGTGACCTTTGGAGAGACGTCCTCGGGTGCCGCCGTCGTGCAAGGTACCTTTGTCGGTGAAGACCAATCGCACGTCCGCAGCTATGGCCCCGGCTTTCAGCGCGGAGGTGCCATGGAGAGTCGAGAGATTACGGAGCAAAATGGTTAGTTTGTCTAGATCTCTTTGCTTGGGTTTACTCCCGCTAATCGGGCGATAGGTAATCGCTACATCAACCAGCTATCCCGCGCCCTGATGATCCCCGAAAGCGCCATGAAGGCCGCCGGTCAGGTGTTCAAGCTGGCCGTGGGTCTCAACTTCATCCAGGGTCGTCGAACCAAGACCGTGGCTGCAGTGGCCCTATATATCGCCTGCCGTCGACAGGATGGAAACACGGTCATGCTGATTGATTTTGCCGATGTCCTCATGGTGAGTACACCTCGAACCAACACCCGCTCAAAAGCCCTTGCTCATCAACGTCCAGATCAACGTATTCAAACTGGGTCGAACCTACAAAGCACTCCTGGATGAGCTGCGTTTGGGCGGGAATGTCTTTTTGATGAACCCTATCGACCCGGAGAGTTTGATTTACCGATTTGCTAAGCAGCTCGAATTCGGTTCCTCGACCATGCAGGTCGCTAGCGAAGCGGTGCGGATCGTGCAGCGCATGAACCGCGACTGGATGACTACTGGTCGACGCCCGGCTGGTATCTGTGGCGCCGCCCTGATCCTAGCAGCTCGGATGAACAACTTCCGTCGAACCGTTCGAGAGGTCGTTTATGTGGTCAAGGTGACAGAGATCACCATCAGCCAGCGATTGAACGAATTCAGCTCCACCGAGAGCGGAGAGCTGACCGTTGACCAATTCCGTTCGGTCCAACTGGAGAACACCCACGACCCGCCGTCCTTCACCCGAGCCCGGGAAGGGCGGAAGCCGTCGCGCAGCATCAAAAAGAAAGGCCCCGAAACGGCGGCCGAGATCGAAGGGGACCTACCGGAGGCAAGCGTGTCCATTCAGCCGAAACGTGTCGACGCGGATGGCTTTGCCATCCCGAGTCTCCCCATTGACCCCGCGTTGACGGCGGACAGTCGCTCGCGGCAACCGTCAGTGTCGTCAGTGTCGTCGGTGTCATCCGCGTTGGATGAGGCCACTCCCGAACCGGGCGAAAAAGCCTCCGGTCACGGGAAAAGAAAGCCACTGCCTCCGCCGACTCCCGATCAGATTGCCTCGGAGGAGGCGCTGGAATCCGAGATGACGGCGTTGTTGGCGAAGGGGTCGAATCTGCTCGATAGTAATACGGCACCACCTCGGAAAGTCATATCCGAAAGCATGGAGATCGATGCCTCCGAATTTGAGTCTGATCCCGAGGTTTCCAACTGCCTCCTGTCTCCCGCCGAGGTGGAAATCAAGGAGCGGATCTGGGTACACGAGAACAAGGATTATCTACGGACCCAGCAGGCCAAGGCGCTTAAGCGTGCTTTGGAAGAAGCCGATTCCGGCCCAGGCATGCATAAGCCCCGCAAGCGCCGTCGGGGTCGGATGGGGGATGTCACCTACTTGGAAGGGGAAGGGGAGGAGGGCGATGGGCGGAATTCCCGTGCCTCCACCCCTGCCGAAGCCACCCGCCGAATGCTGGAACGGAGGGGCTTCAGTAAGAAGATCAACTACCGTCTCCTGGAATCGTTGTTTGGGGAAGAGGGTGCCGACGAGGCGGCCAAGGCCAAGGTCGAGAGTCTCAGCCGAAGCCAAAGCCGCAGCCAGAGCGTGGCGTCCCGGCGGAGTGCCAGTATAGAACCCGAGGCGGCTATCAAACGCACTAAACTCACCGAGCCGCCGATGCCCGCCAAGACCGCCGAGTCTCCTGCTCCTGGGGCGCCGGGACCTAGCCCGTCCCAGCAGCCTTCTCAGGGCGGGACCGGAGCGGCCAATGCGAATGGAGAGGGCCGCGGCCCCGCAGGGGAAGCGGATGAAAAGCCGGATGACGACTATGACGACGATGAGGAGGATGGAGACGATGACGAGGACGATGGCGTCAACGCCGCCTTTTCTGGGCATTACGGCGATTACTACGATGAAGGAAGTGATTATGATAGCGATTAGGATCTGCCTCCCGGGAATTGGAAATACGTCTTCCAGGAAACCTTGGGGCATAATTCAAGACTCATAACACAGTTTTTCACACTGACATGGCCCTGTAATGAGATCCCATATAATGCGAGCGCCAGCCTTCATTCCGAATTCCCCATCGGGCTAGATCTGGTATGCCTCGGAAGATCAGGGAGCTGGGGACTATGTGCTTTTGGAGTAATCCCGACAGCGCCATGATCTCCACGGCTCCACCTCCACTTCCATCTCCACACTCCAATCCCCGGGCAGATCCCCGGAACTTCCCCTTCCAGTCACGCCATCGTGTGCGTCCCTGCGCTCAGAACAGAAGGAATTGCACCGCACGACCTACCAATTCTGGCCAACCGAATTCAACTGAATCATGCCAAGTGAATTACTCTCTCCAGGCTTTTTCTCCCCCTAAACTCATCTATCCCCGGGCCTCTTACATCTGTATCCTGATATCATCGAGTCCTATATTTGGGGATCTTCACGGAACCCTCCTGTCCAAGGAAGGGAAGATTGACTAGCAAGGCCTTGGTAATAACCACATGCCAGGACCGACGCTTCTTATGTATTGTACCAAGTAATCCTTCCAAGTTTTCACGGCAACGCGGTATCCTAGCATACATGGCACTTGACGCGGCCGATAACGAAGCGGAATGAGGTTCATGTAGCTTCATTTCTTCAGGCCATACACCTAGATCTCTACAGATGCGAAACATACTGCACAGCTGGATGACACATCTATGCCATGTGTATAAGTAACACATGATTTGCATCAGGCTGACTTGTGAGCGACAACCGGCGACACCTCGGGCCGAATCCTGGGGAGAGGCAAATTACCTCCCTGAATCTAGAAAGTCGCCCGTGTCTTTCAACATCGACCAACTCACAGGGCTGCATATCGCCGGGGACTGACTACCCGGTGCACGATGAAAGCCTCTACATCCTGTCCATGCCAATCCAGGGTTCTTCAACACAGAGCTTAATTTGGAACAGACGACCAGACTGGGGAGGATACGAATGTCGCCACCATCACAAGCTCTTGAAAACTATTCGACGGCCTTTACAGCACCATGACTCCAACCCCTCACACTATCAAGGCAAGGGATGGGTCAAGAATGATGCCGTGGGATTTGGGATGGATTTCAGGGAAAGAACCGTGCTTTTTCAGCAGGTCCTTGCTCGAGGAATTCCTCCAAGATTCATCGATAATGCCCTGACTACGCCATGGTGATCGTTTCTGGGTGTTTGATGCTCCCCCTCCCAGTATAGCGTCGAATGAGATCTTCGGCCGAGGCCAAAACAAGAAAGAAAAAGGCCCAAAAAGAGAGTGTTGAGCTGATCGCTGTGGATCATGTGGGATGTGAATATGAGAAACAGAACATGATTCGGTCAACCAGAAATCGCTGAGACAGTTCATCCCACCATCTGACCTCGCCTCCTGTGTTCCAGGCTGAAGATACGTGCGGTATTTTTGGTTAAGATTTCCGGTTGGTATGGGGCCCGCTCTGATGCCCACCTCCTAAAGGCTGGAGGGCTGGTGGGCAGGCAGCAGAGCTTGTCTGCCCTTGGGAGAGAGCGCCAGTCGTGTCGTGGCAGGGAAATGCCCCTTCCCTTGTGCCCATGGCTCTCGCCCATTTGCAGGCACGGTGGGTGGTGTATCCTCTGGGGCCCACCGGGGGACTAGTCATGATGATCCGCTATGTTTGCATGTCGAGTGCGCAAACCCCAAGCGCATTTAGATGTATTTAAACTCTTTCAACCGGCGTTGCGGCCTACCTCGAGGATGTCTTCTCACTCTCAGAATCCCACTCCCATTGTACTGTTGTCATGGCTGGGACCAACACGATGTATGGTCGAGGACTTGGCCTTCGGATGGCCATTCTGTTTACCTGCCAGGTAGCTTTCATCTTGTTCGGTACAGGCTCCCCTCCTTCCCTGCGAGGATGCGTGGATCTCACACAGGGCTGACCTGGATATAGGTTACAACCAAGGTGTATTCTCTGGGATTGTCCGAAATGAAGAGTTTCTCAGCCTTCTCAAGTACCCCAGCTCTGCCGTGCTCGGCATCATTGTGGCAATCTACAACCTGGGATGTCTCTTTGGCACGGTCGTTGCATTCATCTTGTCAGATAAACTGGGCTTTCGGAAGACAATGTGGTTTTCCATGGCCTGGATCATAGTTCGTCCCACCATGTCCAACTCTCTTCGATGAGAAGAATGGCGTGACTGATGAAACATTCCGTGCAGATTGGAGCAAGCCTACAGGCCTGCTCCTATTCCCAGGCTCAACTGCTCGTGTCCCGCTTTATTAGCGGCACCGGGACTGGGATCATGAGCGTCGCAGCCCCTGTGTACCAATCGGAGTTGTGCGAGGCAAAGAATCGAGGAATGTATGTGTGTAGTCAGCCTCTCGCCATCGGGGTCGGTATCGTCATCTCCTATTGGTTCGATTATGGTATGAGCTATGTCACAGGCTCCGTGAGCTGGAGGCTCCCTATTGCATTTCAGATGATCTTTGCGATAGTCGTGGTCATCATGGTCCGTGGGTAAGTTTGACCTGGTTTACTTTTTTGAGTGTCCCCGTGGTTAACCCTGCTTTTCCCCCAAAGTCTTCCGGAAAGCCCACGATGGCTGTACCGGTGGCAGAGACCCGACGAAGCATTGCAGGTTCTGTGCGATGTCCACGACCGAGCCGCGGATGATCCCAAAATTGTTGAGGACTCGCGCGGAATGTACAGGGCCGTTGAGCTGGACAAGCTCCGGGAGGAGTACAAATGGTCTCGAATTTTCAAAAAGGACGAGCTTCAAACGGGGCGACGCGTCCTGCTGTCTTACGGCCTACAGTTTATGAACCAAATGACCGGTATCAACTTCATCGTGGTAAGTCTCAGCATTCGAACCGAAGCGGGCAACACCATGGACCAGCTAACAGCCCATCTAGACATATGTCACATCGGGTAAGAATTCACAGATCTGAACGGCTGATGTCTTAAATGACTCGACAAATGATCTGACAAACTCGATACAGTCCTGGAGACCAATGTGGGCCTCGACAAGCAGCTGAGTCTGCTCCTTGGCGGCGTAATCCAAGTTATGTTTGTTATTGGTAGGTTGGAATTTGATGTGCACCTCTGCTATGTGGAGACGAACACCCGCTGATCATGACCCCAACAGGCTCCATCTACCCTACAATGTACTCGGATCGCCTGGGACGCCGGAGGCCAATGATGTGGGGATTATTCGGGCTTTTCCTGTGCATGATGATGATCTCCATTCTTCTCTCATTTAAGGGTACTCACCATCTCCGCATGCTTCTCCGTTTACCAGCCGGGTCTGAACTGACCTGACAACCTCCCACAGGAACGAGCATCGAAAAGCCAGCGGCAACCGCCTCAATCGTGTTCTTCTTCCTGTTCATGCTCATCTTCGGAGCCTCCATCAACTGCATCCCGTGGGTGTACAGCCCGGAGCTGCTCCCCCTACATGTCCGCGCAAAAGGGTAAGAGTTCCCCGCCGCATTCCAGATGTTCACCTCCCCTTGCGGGGATCACCACGCTAATGCTGAAAGCAGACAAGCCATCGCAATCTCAGCAAGCTGGCTGTGGAATTTTTTCGTGGCCATGATCGCGCCGACGCTGATCAAGGAGCTCGTCTGGAAGGGATATCTGATTTTCATGTGCATGAATTTGATTTTTGTCCCGGTAAGCCGTCCTTATGCATACCTGATGTGCATTATATTTATATGCACTCTGGGATCCGGATCCATCCCATAGAAAGAAACTAATGACGGCGGCAGATCGTATACTACTTCTACCCCGAGACCGCCAATCTCACCCTCGAGGAGATCGACTACCTCTTCATGGACGGCAGCCAGCCCGACAGCCAGCCCGACCTCCATCCCGACGCGAAGGAGCCCGCTGTCAGGGAAATCAAATGCACAGCGTAGGCTCACACGGACTTACACATACTGATTACGAATTTATCACGAGAATCGGCAATCAACGAATCGAATCCAATCAAATCGATACAAGTCTCACGACCACCATAGATGGGCGTTCATTCATTTTTTACTTTCCCTTTTCTATTACATGTCTACTCCTCGGAGTACTATCCCCTCTCTCTCTATATAATATCGAGTGCAAATCCACTGTTACTATGTTTGTATTTATGTTTAATAGATATACACATCTATAGGCGTCGGAAATGAAATACTACACTCGTCCCCACACAACAATCAATGGAAACTGGCATCCAGTCCAATCATACTTTACCTAGCTACCTAGGTGGGTACCTAGCTGTGGGTAAGTAAGTGTAGTGAAATGAGTGCAGTGTGGTATGTATGTACATACCACACACACACCCTATTCTTCGCGTGAAGTGATGCGGAGGGATCGAGATCTCTATCTGTCTGTTTCTTTGTTTCTTTCTTTCTTTCTCACACCAGCCACATACAGACATGCGCATACACCAACTAGACTTATTGTCAGTATTGTCTAAGAGGATATATTCATTCCCATATGTAGGCATTGCTTTCCAGTGGGTTTATTATATAGTCATAATTTCAAATGCGCTTCAAATAGGTATTGATGCCTATCCACCTATCAAGATCTGTCTTGAATATACATACGAATAGAAAAATCCAATATAATATAATCAATATACCAAAATGTAAAAGGATCTCCCAGCAACTGGTAGCTAAATAACGACCACATTTCAAACTGTTAAGAAAACCAGCCTCAACCAGGAATGGAAACCCAGCTGAGACTGAGGCGAGTCAAGTCACAGCATACCTAAGCGGGCAGTGAGTAGTACAGGGGGGAAGAAAAGTAAAATAAGATAAAAAATAAAAATAGAAGTATAGAAAGAGAGACAGAGGCAGAAGGGAAGACTAGAAAATCAAGGCATCTACTTTCAAGGGATAGGAAAAATGAGGAAAAGAGCCGAGGCTTACTTCTACCTACCTACTACTTACTACCTACCTATTTATCACCTACTACCTATCATTGGTATGCGTACATCCCAAAATATATCTTTGTGATCAGATAGGTAGTAAGGAGTACTCCGTACCATGGCTCTCTCCACCCGCCAGGCAACTACAGTACCCGCCCCCGCCACCGGCCGAGTTGTGGCAAAAGATACTGTATAACTAGTCCATTGGTTCTCAGTGCTTACTGGCCATTTTGGTCTCTCGGGAATGCAGAGCGAGGCAACCTAGGCAAGGAGAATCATGTTTAATCGTTAATACAGTAGCATTATTTTGTATTGTTCACTCCGTGGCCAATACCCTCTATACTCTGGATGCAGGTCTACCGCGCATGTAATCTAGAATCTACGAGTCAATATAACTACACTAGAGACAGAAAAATTGGAAAAAAAATGGGTAGTCTAATTTTGAATATCGCTGGAATAAATAACAGGTAGGACCAAGAAATTGCAAGACAACCGAGGTTCATACACCAGAACCGCGTGAACATCAAATCCAATGCGTCTAGTCAAATCAAGGATACAATCAAGCCCCCATCCCACGCGGGCTGACACCATAAACAAAGATTCCCAAACTGGAATCACACAAAGTCGTATCAATCAATCAAAAGGTGGATTCGGAGCCGTAGCTGCATTCCCTGCATGAGGCCACGCTCCGCCGTCCTTCCGTTCTTATCCTCTCGGTCGACCGTGACCAAGAGACATTATCTTAAAAAAAAAAAAATAGTAGATGGCCAAGTGGATGAACAAACGAGGCCGGGAATATGAAAATATCAAAGGAATGTAAATGCTGAGTAGGATGTTGTCGCTTCAAACCCACCAAGAGTCCCGTATCCCTCGCTCGGCAGGATCGCTTCGTTTACTCCGCGTCGGGGTAGCAAGGGCTGAACGGATCAGACATGGAGACTCAGTGGCGCGAAACCATCAAGGTACCCGTTTACGGGGTGGCAGGAGGAGCAGCAGGGGGAGCACCACCGCCCAGCATGCCCTTGACACGGTCGACCTGCTCAGGAGCGTAGTTGGGGCCCAGGGAGCCGATGAACAGGAAGAAGATGAGAACCACGGCGCCGATGATAATCGACTTGCGGCGCACGGGGTGGTTGACGCCAAACTCGGCCCAGGACCGGTTGGCCTGGCCAGCGTAGTCCTTGATCTTGTCGGCGCCCAGCTTGTAGTAGACCAGACCGATGAGGGCAATGGAGTAGCCGAAGAACTGGGTGTTGGAGACGGGGGTCTGCCAGAGCATCATGGAGGCGGCAACCAGCAGGATATCCTTGAGGACACCGCAAAGGGTCATCACTAGAGACGAAGTCTTGCCAATCTACACGGATGGTTAGTGGACCCGAGTGCGATTTGGTAGGAAGGGACGCGGAAACATACCAGGAAGACGACGGAAACGTTCAGCAAGAAAGCAGTGATGGCGTTAAGCATGAGCGTGGAGACACCGACGTTCTGGATGTGGCCCCAGGTGACGTTGGGAACCTCCAGGAACAGAGCGGTCACACCGTTCATGACCGCGCAGACCGGAGCGAAGTAGTACAGGGAAACCAGAGGATCCATCTTGTACTCGGCGGAGCTGAGCAGGCGCTGGACCATGACGAGACGGATGGCCTCGAAGATGATACCGCCGATCTGGAAGAGGAAGCCGACGAAGACGAACTTGATCTCACCGAAGGAAGCAATGACAACACCGACGACGATCAAGGCCACGTTCATGAGAACCTTGAGGTTGACGGGCGCCATACCCATGCCCCAGGTAGCCAAGAGCACGGCAACGGGGGTGGTGGCCTAGATTAGAGTATGAGCACAGGACCGACTAGCTTGCCATTCCATGATGGGACGCACCTTGAGCATCTGAATGAATGCAACACTCAGATACAAGTAAGTCACGTTGCCGCAGATCAAACTCAGACTGAAGAAGAGACCGATGGGGACGATAGCGCGCAGGTAGACCCGGCCGGTCATCTTCACGGTTTTCCGGCCATCGAGAAGGGTGGTGGTACGGGCGAGGAGCTGGGTCATGAGCGTCGCGAAAGTCAAGTGCCAGGTGGTCAGGACAATGGCTAGATGAGGGGTTAGAGTATATTCGAGTCGTATTCAAGGAAGGAAAGCATACGGAAGCCTATCAATCAGGGAAGTTAGTCTCTGTATCCCGCGGAGTTGGGTGGATTCCACTTACGGAAGTTGGCATAGTCGAGGATATACTTGTTGAACAGGATGACACTGGAACTCAAGGTAATCCAGGCGCTGGCGATCGGTCAGTACAGCGCATCCCACGATGTCTTTCGAACCCCCCCATATGTCTATAGACTCACCTCACGTAAACGGCCGGGTGGAACGAGGCCTTGGGAGGTTCCGGCTTCTCGGCGGCGGGATTGACGGTGGGGAGAGACGGCTCCGGGCGAGAGACCTCGCCGGAGGTTCTCACCTTTTCACCATCGTTGCTCATTTTGGAGATAGAGACCTGGTCGGACAGAAAACGTTGGAAATCGAAATTGCGGGGCCTTAACAGGCTACTCTGACCAAACTTGGAGGAGGCCACGAGAGAGGTGATTAGAGGGAGGAAGGAAGAAGGAGGATAATGATAGTACTAAAAAGATAAAGAGGTAAAGAACACGGAAGAAATGAAGACCGTAGGGGCGACGGTAAGAAAAGAGTGAACGACTGAGTTGGTCTGAAAATGGAAATCGAAAAGAAAAGAAAGAGACAAAGAGAAACAGGGCGACGCGAACGGAGTGAACCGGTTAGAGAGGAGGAGGAAGGATGGAAGAGAGAGAGAAAGTGGTCTGGGGGAAGAAAAGAAGAGGGATTGAAGACTGGTTTGGGTTTGGATTGGAGTCTGGGAATGGTTAAGGTAATTACTTGGGTTATTTTAGGATTGTCAACCAGTCACAGATAATATTATATTATAATCATAATAAATAAATATAATAAAATATAATACAAAAAAATACAAAATCATCCATATAGTAGTAAATATAATAAAAGAGGGTCGGGGATCCGCAGTACCAAGAGCAAGTCTAAGAGACTCCAACAGATCGTGGCCCAAGATGGGAGATTTCGTTGGTTACCTTCTTTACACTTCTTGGAGAGAGAGAGATTGTGCCACCGAGTAACTACCAGTGACCACCAGTAACTACCGGACCTGGAGTTAGTCGCAGTCCCTGCGGCATCCGAGGCATGTAAAGCTGCAAGCAGCAGGTCTCCACCGTGCTTCTAAAGTCTTATCAAGGCATTTTTATTTTATTTTATTTTATTTTTGAAAGAATTATCATAGCAAAGTACATATTTTTCAAAAATGTTGAGGAGATAGAAGTGAATTATTAGATCAAACGGGGTCAGTTGAAGAACCGGGATTGGAAACAGATCATTCAGGACATGATCGACAATATACTGATACTTTCTGTAGATTGAATTCCCCCTCTGAATGATGCCAGTGGTGATATGAAAGCGTCTCAGCTGTGTATCCCATAAATTACTCCCGGATGGTATGAAACCACTATCAGGAAAGACTGTCGGCCAGTTTCGAGTTCTGGCCACTGTCCTCCCTGGCACACTTCCATTTAGCCTGTCGAACATCCCAGCCCCCCGACAACCCCCCAGCCCCCGGTGGGGAAAACCAGAAAAGTAAAAAAGGTGAGGTGGGTACGTAATCTGTGTAGGGATAGATCGATAAATGGATGAGGCGGTCGTACGGGGTGGTACATATTCAGTACGAGGTGGCGGTATTATTCAAACGACCGAAGTACTCTCGGTGTATTGTACGTATACTATATGATACTCCATTATCTAGTTAGTTTGTCAGGGGCAAATAACGAGTGTGGTAATCTGGTACCGGTATGGTCAGGACCATACATACACGTAGACATCTGCACCCCCGTTCCCACTTGGCCAGCCTTTTTCGCCTCATTCGGTCTAGTCCCAGGGTTCTTCTTCTTTCCCTCAAGTCGGGACTTACGTAGCCCCTGCCTGTGCCTCTTTTATTTACTTTATTATATTGTTTTATATTGTTTTTTTTTTTTTTTTTTTTTTTTTTCATCTTCACTCTTGTCTTTTCCTTTTTTTTTTTCTTTATTTTAATTTTTTATGCAGAGCTCGACATCAAAAGGTACTTCAATAGTATCATGTCTCCTATAGCCCCTCCAGGTGTAATCACTGGTGGGTCGTCACCAATGCTCATCACTCTATCTAAACTAACTTCTCTCGTGGCGAGAATTGAACTGGACAGTGGTGTCAATCTCCAGGTCCCCACTGCCTCTCCACCGGGTGTGCCCCCTTTTCCATTGTCTTATTTGACGGCCACATATTCTATTTATTCTTGGTAGTACCGTGGTTCTGTTTTTTTCTAATTTAATTTCATTGTATTTTCCTTTTTTATATCCGTTGCCTTTTCTATCGCCTATCAAAGTGTACTTGTAGAACATTTGGTTATCTTACCCTAAGAACAACGGTTAATGTGATAGATAGCCCGATAGCGCCTGGCCGATCAAACCATCTACAGTCAACCGACCGGAAGATAAAATCAAATAAATATTGATTTAGTCTAACTAAACCCCCCCAAGCAAGCAAATGGACTGTTGATCCAAATTAACACTGACTTGTTTGGCGCTAGGGTGCATTACGCAAGCAGTCACTCTGGTGGCTTCCCAGCCAAGCAACTCAAATTACCCGCGTTCAGCGGCCACTTGTTCATAGCGTCGCCGCCGATGTTCCCTGGCCCTGGGGTGGAGAATGCGGCGATCTGATGGCTGATGGGCTTAAAACTGCCGTGACCTTGGGTCAATGGCGTTTTCAAGAATCGAACTTGCTTGCTATACTACTAGTCGCTAAGTCGAGACTCCAACGCCAACCCCGGCGACTTTGCCCTAAGCACCCACTACCCAGTAGAACTACCACTATTACTCCGTACATTTCTAGGTGTTGTCAGGAACCCTCCTTTAGTTGAACTTCCATTCGGGGATCGCTCGTGGGTCCTCCGGTCCCTTTCGGGTGACGTCCGGAGCACCGTCGCATTTCCATTTCCATTCCCCTTCTTCCCGATGTTGACAATCGAGACAATGGCTATTGTGACTTTTGAGGTTTTGTTGGGTTCCACAGTCGCATCGAGGGTACTCCGTACTCAGTAGAATATTCAAGATAGCCTGAACGGGAGACGGAAGTCTATTCAAAAAGAAAGGTAAATTGACCAACCACAATACATTAGGAGTTGAATCACCGAGTAGTAACAAGAGTAAGCGTCATGTATTCCACAGAGACAAGACGAAGCTTTCCCTCCATTCCTAGTGGCTGGGGATTTCTGTTGGTCTCATTGAACACCTTTACTAACTACCTAGTACTCCGTACAACCTCGCCCGGATTCTGGAAAGAGATCTGCCGCTGCCTTCCGTTCTCAGAAGGATAATCAGTGGGACTCCGCTCATGGGTTCAGCCCACAAAGTCTAGCCTCTTTCGCACAAAGCGACACCTTGCAAGTTCTATTCCATCTCTTCCCAGAGCCTGACGGATCGAAAACTGGTGATGATCATTTACCCTATCGAATCGGCGTGGACAATTTCCCTCCGTGCAACCCGAAACTACGGAGTAACTGCTGGTCTTTTCGAAAAGTAGTCCTGTCAATGGACGACGTATCAATTTGATAGCCGAGGGAGTGGACAACGTGCGACTCGGGGGGGGAGCCATTGGTGGCGACTGAGTCTGGAGATCTTCTGGCACAGTATGGAAAGATCCGGGATCGGCTCTCACGTACCCTATTTCAAACGGTCAAGGTGTTCTATCTGACGATAAAATCCTTCGAAGGGGTTTTAGAAGCTTCCAAGGCGATCCCAATAATTCATCTCCGTTACTTCGAGGGTAACTATCCGGGAGGGCAGAGGGACGGTATCCGGGCGGTGTGGGGTTCAGGATGGAAGTACGGTTTCGGCAAAATAGCAACAGCAACAGTCAACAAGTCAATAATCGTCATGGATGGATGGAAACAACCACAGCCACATTCTTCCCGGTGTTCTAAACATTCTTGCGGTGATCCCAGACGGGAGGAGGGTGCCCGCATTCAGAGGATGCTGATAAGGCAGGATAAGAACCGTCGCAAGCAGTAAATTCCTGGAACCTGGGGGAAAGGGAGGGGGAGGGGTCACAACACCTGGACGCGGCCAGATAAGCAACCTACTGAGCTAGGAGATGCTGGGAGGGATTGGATACTCTCGAGCCACCAAGATAACATGTCCAAAGTCAATTGATCTCTATCTAATGTGTAGTATTCAGTGGTGACGCCGCCATATCGAATTAATCAATCAGACTCATGGGTAGAGTCCAGACGTTTGAGACCGATTCTTTAATTTCCTGATCTCAGTTGATTAATACCCTGTTTTTAATTTGGTTAATAATTTTATTCTATATATTCTATTTTTTTTATTATTTTATTTTATTACATTATTCTATTTATTTTTATTATGGTTCTTCTAATAATGATTTTATTTTCAAAATTGGGTCATTTCCTTCCCCTCCCCCTTATCCAGGGCTCACCAGCAGCTGGCGCGGCAACCCGACCTTTTTCCATACGTATTCATTACTCTAATTAGGGCCTAAACTTGAAACAGATACAGTAACCAACTAAACCTGCACCCACCCCCCACCGCAACTGTCCTTCTCGTCACGTTTCGTTATTTGTCCGTCTGCGACACATCTCCCTCCCCTCTCACCGTTCTTTCTTATCCCTCTCCTTCCATCCTTCATTCTTCTTCTCTCCCCCGCCCCCCTCCCCCTTCTTTTAAATCCTGCAGTCCCCTGCAGCTTCAATTTTTCTTTCATGCTTAGCCTCGCCCGCAAGACCTTAAACCGCGTTCCCAGCTTTCAGGATATCCTACAAGGCAGGATGACCCACCCAGACATGTAAGGATTTCTCTCTCTCTGCCCTCCGTTCAGGGGGGTTCCCTACACCAGCAATGCTAACATCACCCTCTCTTCAGCTCCGTTGACGTTCTCGTCATTGGTGCCGGCCCTACCGGTCTCGGTGCCGCGAAGCGTCTGAACCAGATCGTACGAATTCACCCTCGTTGAGCTTCTCAAGTTGGACGGCATGCTGATAATCGGTGCAGGATGGCCCCTCGTGGTTGATCGTCGACAGCAATGAGACCCCTGGTGGTCTGGCTTCGACCGATGTGACCCCTGAAGGCTTCGTGAGTCAATCCCCCGCGGATTCCGTCACCCGATGGGTTTCCGTCACGATGATGTTGTCAATGGCTCGCTGACTCGGAATGACAGCTTTACGACGTCGGTGGTCACGTTATCTTCTCCCACTACAAGTACTTCGATGACTGCATCAACGAGGCCCTCCCCAAGGATGACGACTGGTACAGCCACCAGCGTATCTCCTACGTCCGTTGCAAGAACGAATGGGTCCCCTACCCCTTCCAGAACAACATCTCCATGCTTCCCAAGGAGGAGCAGGTCAAGTGCATTGATGGCATGATCGACGCTGCCATCGAGGCCCGCGTCTCCAACGTCAAGCCCAAGAACTTCGACGAGTGGATCGTCCGTATGATGGGTACCGGTCTGGCCGACCTGTTCATGAGGCCTTACAACTACAAGGTCTGGGCTGTGCCCACCACCAAGGTATGTTACTTTCCGCTCGAGCATGACCGGGATTAGCCAGATACTAATGACCGTCCAGATGCAATGTGCCTGGCTGGGCGAGCGTGTCGCCGCCCCCAACGTCAAGGCCGTGACCACCAACGTCATCCTCAACAAGACCGCCGGTAACTGGGGTCCCAACGCTACTTTCCGTTTCCCCGCCCGCGGCGGTACCGGTGGCATCTGGATTGCCGTCGCCGACACTCTCCCCAAGGAGAAGACTCGCTACGGTGACAAGGGCAAGGTCAGCAAGGTCAACGCCAGCAACAAGACCGTCACCATGGCGGATGGCACTACCATCGGCTACCAGAAGCTCGTGTCCACCATGGCCGTGGATGCCCTCTCTGAGCAGCTGGGCGACCAGGAGCTCGTCTCCCTCAGCAAGGAGCTCTTCTACTCCTCCACCCACGTCATCGGTGTTGGTATCCGTGGCTCTCGTCCCGAGCGTATCGGCGACAAGTGCTGGCTGTACTTCCCCGAGGACAACTGCCCCTTCTACCGTGCCACCATCTTCTCCAACTACTCCCCCCACAACCAGCCCGAGGCCGGCAAGAAGCTGCCCACCATCCAGCTGGCGGATGGCTCCAAGGCCCCGAGCTCTGAGGCGAAGGAGGGCCCCTACTGGTCCATCATGCTGGAGGTCTCCGAGTCCTCCATGAAGGCGGTCAACCACGAGACTCTCCTCGCCGAGTCGATCCAGGGTCTCGTCAACACTGAGATGCTGCAGCCCGGCGACGAGATCGTCTCCACCTACCACCGCTGCTTCGACCACGGCTACCCCACCCCCTCTCTGGAGCGTGAGGGTGCTCTCACCAAGATGCTGCCCAAGCTCCAGTCCATGGACATCTGGTCGCGTGGCCGCTTCGGCAGCTGGCGCTACGAGGTCGGTAACCAGGACCACTCTTTCATGCTCGGTGTGGAGGCTGTTGACAGCATTGTCAACGGTGCCGTTGAGCTGACCCTGAACTACCCCGACTTCGTCAACGGCCGGCAGAACACCGAGCGTCGTCTGGTCGACGGTGCTCAGGCGTTTGCCAAGAACAAGGCTCAGCAGTAAATGCACCCTTTCATTCTTATAGACTTGTTCAGGTTTAATACGAGATGTCTGGTGGAGTTCAAAAACACAAACAAAAAAAGAGAGCCTAGATAAAGATTTACGGTCTACGGGTTGTTAATATTTCTTTTTCATTTTACCCATTTCATTTATTTTCTTTTTTTCTATATTTATTTTTACCTTTTTTTTTTGGAAGCGATGCCTGAAGACGTTTGATTGCTGGCATTTTACGGTGATGAGCATCGTGAATCGCATTTACCTCGGAATTTATAAATCTTTTCCCTAGATGAATGGACTTGCATTTTGGCTTGGCACCTTTGCAGCATCGCGTTAATGGTATGCATAGAGTAGCCTCCTCGTTCAGCAAGATAGACATAGAAATGAAGTAACTGCCTACCTACCTACATACTGTCAACCAGAGCATCTCACCAGATCCCAATGATCGTCACCACCCACATAGGGAACCAAACCTCGTCGCTGGTCTTTCTAAGGCTGAAACTGAGACTGAGACTGAGACCGAGACCGAGACCGAGACCTGAGACAGCCACCAACCCAATCAATAAAGTTTAACCGAGGATGTACGATACGATCGAAGTCTAGCCAAGGGAGGTGAAGGGGCCATGTTCGGCTCGCGTTCCCCAATTCGAGATACAATATAATACCTGTCATGTACTCTGTAGTAATCTGTCTTATGTTTGTCTTTTTATGGATATGGGGTGTGGTACTGTGTGTGGTGGGTGGTGTCTCAAATTTGTTTCTTGATATGTACGTCTCGTTTGGGGACTCGAGTGTCACTGCCCGAGTCTTTAGTACTGATTTGTCTATTACTTGGCTCGTATTAAGTTGGCGAATCATGAGGCGAAGAAAGAGGTATATAAGCTGGACAAACCGGACAAACACAGCTAGTTACCTGTTCAGCCAAGTAAGCAGTTGGTTAACTAGTTACATAGATAAAGTGGCTCTCACCGCCTACGTAGTACATAATATCAATAGATACACTGTTGACCAGGTCTGTCCAGAATACTAACTTATGAAACAGTACCTCTGCGCCTGCTTACACTTGTACATTCTACGCCAGTATTAATCACACAGATACCCAGTTACTGGTGTCCACAGCATTGTCCACTAGTTACCCAGGGGCAGGACTCAAGAACAAGAAGAGAAGGAGAAGAAGAAGAGGAGGAGATCCACCGTGGGTTCGGGACGCGTAAGTATGGAGCCTGGGTCTCTAAAAATGGACCTTATGATTTAATTGGGTTAGGTTAGTTGAATGCTACACTCTGTAGTGTAGTTAGCAGTTAGCAGTATAGTGCTATTATTATTATTATTATTCCAGGCTCTATTCCCTTCCCCACTAATCAATCTCCTGTGGTTCCTTTCGGTTACTGGGTCTTTGCTTCTGAGGCTTGACTCTGGGTTTGGGGTTGCTTGTTTGGGAGGATAGTAATTGTTAGGTATTATAGTGATAATAGTAATGATGGTAGTACCTAATACAGTAGTAGGTAGCATTGCATAAGTTAGTAACCCCATTATACTCCAGACTTTGCTCTAGATCATCTAAGATCTATAGCCAATTTCTACCTAAACAGTCTCCCACTCCAGAAAAGGCAAAACTATATCATAATACGGTATGACGACACAAATGTAATTAATCAATGGGGGGGAGCTCACGGGTTTCATACATATTACATACAGATTGATCTCACCTATCTGTTTGAATCGTCAAACGCTGTTTGTTTATTTTATCTTTATCTGACTACGCCGGCTTGCATCGCATGTATGGATCATTTGATGATTCAAATTACACATCAATGACTGGGTAGAGGAGTGAAGTCCCTACGGATGCAGTATGCATTATATGACAGTGCATCTGAGAATTTCACCCTCCAAGCCAAGATACAGATACGTAGTACGGGTACTTGCTGTTTGGTTTCCGTTTTTCATACTCTGTACATGACACGGTTGACATCTCAGAACAGCCGTTGAGATGTCTCACATACCGAATTCAAAATTAGAAATCTGCAAGACAAGATTGTACTCCGTACCTAACGCATTGATCTACCAACTTCTACCGCTAATTACAGGGACGGTCTCATCTATCCGTAGACAGAAAAGGATCGTATATACGATCTACTTCGTACCGTTGATGCAAATGCACAGTAAAGTATATTAATATTTTTCCGATCCTCACCGCGCTTGCAGCACTGTACAACAAGCATGTGCATACATAAAAGGACGTTTCCATTATTCGTCAATCAATCCACTTCCAAGCTCGTCTCATGTCATGTCATGTCAGATGAACATTCCGTCCTCTGCGGCTTCATCCGCTCCACCATCGTTGCCGGAATCTATTCTGGGAAGCCGATACCTGCAAGACCCGCTAGATGGGGCGACAGTCGGGTGGGGGTGAGACATGAGACGTCAGACTAGTCACCAACAACAAAAACTCAACGCAAAACGCCAACCAACAAAGTAACTAACTCTTCTCCGTTCGCGATTAATCAATCAATCAATCAATCAATCGTCAATAATCCAATTCGTCATTTTCGACGCCACCGCTTTCCACTTTGGGGACAGTCTGCAATTCGTGGCCTGGGACCTTGAACGGCTCCAGGTCTCTCAGGCCGAGTTCGGCGATGTCGTCGACGCGACCGCCTTGCACTTCAGTGATGAAGTCGTTGACGTAGCTGTGGAAGTGGTATGCGTCCATCAGGATGGGGTGGACGAGACCGTGGTTCTGCAGGGTCTTTCGGTCAGTGAAGTATGCACGTCGGGGACGGTAAAGAGACTCACCACCGCTTTGATCTCGGGACGGACGCTGTACGTGATGGAATTGGTCTCATTGTCCTGTCCCCGACGCTTGGTGTCCGTGACGTTTTCACTCACGAAATTAGTCGGGAGGTCGATGTCGAGGATGCTGCGGTCATAGGGGCGCGGAGGCTCGTTGGTCTCACGCAGCACGGCGGAAGAAAAGTCGCAGCGTCTGTGGGCGGGGATCTTTGCTTCCATGTGTGCGTTTTCTTTTCTCTATGCAAATGGAGACGGTCAATAGTCGGTTTCCATTATGTTGGGATTCCGGTGCTTACCTCCTCGGCATGGGGCAGGTTTGCATTCGCATTGATATCCCACACCGGGTTGTTACCGTCTTCTACATCCATACTGACAATACCTGGGGGCGTCTCTCGCACACCGGCCTTGATCTGCTTGTTTCTGGCACGGCCTCTCTTGGCCATTCTTTTCGCTTGGGAGACGGTGTCGCCTGGGAGGGAGCTCAGAGCGAGGTCGATGAGATTGGTCAAGTGCACAATCAAACCACCCGTGGAGTGGTTGTCGGTATCGCAGGTGGTGTTTGTACACAGCTCTTCAATATCTCTGTTGAGTCTGAGGCAGGTTTGTGTGGGGGATTCTGGCTTGTCAGTATCAACCATAACAATGCAGACGAACAAACTATGGTGCTCTGTACCTGTATTGTTTATCTGAGTTTGGCAGTTATCACCTGTGGTAACTGCCTTGGATGGGGCAACAGATTCACAAAGATCTTGTGGGAGGGGTGAGTACAGCAGAGGTTTAAGGGGATGAAAGAGATCCTGCTGGGTAGGAAGAAATCTCAGGACTCTATCATACACTGTGCTGAATAGGGCAGTGTGAAGTCGAGGACTGGCTGATTGTGCGGCTGGGCGAATGGGACATGAATGGTCTGGTGGAAGTGAACAATGTTTGTTCTTCGCGTAACGAGCTGTCACCCACGGCGACCTGGAGGCACCACTCCATTTCAGAGGTTTAATTGCGATTTCATCGTCACTGTCACTGCCGGTAAAGGAACTATTTTCCTCGGAGGAACTACCTTCTTCATCAACAGAACCAGACACCTGGTAAGCCCGTCTCGCGCAAGTAGAAGCACCTATCTCACTCATATCCGAACCAGGATTGGGAACCAAAGAGCTCGAACGAGACGACAAGACGATATCAGCAGTGGTGTTATATCTCAGACCGGGATATGGGTTCTGGCCAGCAGGCGCGACACCCTCCCCGTCACAGATCGACTCCGATATATGGGTGGGAACAGAGGACGACGGGGTATCTGAGTGCAAGGACAGCTGGTCGTCCATGTCGTCGTCGCCTTCGTAGTAGTAGTAGTACTCTGGATGGCGGGCGTAGATGTGGGAGAGGTGGAAGTGGACGTCCGTTTCGTCGAGGGATATGCGGGTTGGTTTGTGTCGGAGCATGGTTCTGATGGATTCATGTGGATGGCTATACTGGGAGGAGTAGATCGTGTGTATACTGTAAGTTGGTAGTATCTACGATCATCGCTCCCTATGTTTTGACTGTAGAAGGCCTATTGATCGTATTAAAGGGAGGAGCGATGGGTGTATCTCCAGATATTATGTCATTTATCAGCGTCACTGTCAAGAGGTGGCAGGGCTCAACACATCGAGGGATGGACGTGATACAGAGTGTGCATTTGCCAGTTAATAATAACCTAAAGTCTAGGTGAGGCTGGTGTGTCTGTTTTCTTCCTACCTGATATTTCTTTACAAGCATAGTCAAACTCCATATACATTCATATTCATATTGATTTATTTCGTTGGATTCCATATGATATCAATTCCAATCTCATTCCAGTTCCAGTTCCATTTCAATTTCAATTTCCTATCAATATCAACATGGATGGATTCAGTGATATAATAGAAAGATTGAATTCCTGATTTTGATCTCACCTTTTACTCTAACCATTCATACAGACCGAGGTAATCACGATACCTGAATGGCTGGCAATTCGACCAAATTAATTCTGCCTACCGATGTCCACTCGACTTGCTACTAATAATAACCTCGTGGCGTACCTGTCTATAAGATTGGTTCGTTTGTGTTTTTCTGAAGCCTTCTGTCCAATCTGTCGACTGCCAAGGGAACCGGCTTCGATTGTAGGAGCAGGAGCCGTAATGAAGGAGACGGTCGAGCGTCATCAGGCTGAGCTGATAACATCAGAAAAAGAATCCATGAGGATCATGATATCTGTGGATCCGATCTGAGTCTTTCCCCTTCTTCGTAGTATTTGTAGCTTTGTCCCATTCTCTCCTCCTTAGTATTGACTCCCTTTGTGGATCGGCAATTCTGTCTGTTTTGGATCTCGATTGATTTTCGATTGATTCGATTCTAGTCATATTGATCTTCTTTTCCGATCTGCTCTTTTTGATTTGGTTTGTTCAGTTAGTGTGGTTGGTTGGATGATGTCCGATCCATCTCAACCCGTTCCTGCTCCGACCGCTCACTCTCTTCTCTTCCTCTGACCACCACTAATACAACCACCACCACTACAACCACGGAGTCATCTTCTCCCCTCTTTCTCTTCTTCTCTTCCTCCTCTCCTCTCTCTCTTCTCTCCTCCTAATACTCCGTTCTTCATTCTTTCGTTCATCCATCTCCATCTTCTCTCGTTCTCTCCTCCCTCTCCCCGCCCTCCCTCCCCTCCCCCCCCCCCTCTCTCTCCTCCTTCCTCTTCCTCTTCCCCCCCCAACCCCTCCCCGCCCTCTCCTTCACTCTCCTTTCCACCCTTTTCTCTCCCAATATCCTCGCTGCTTTCCCCTTCTCTCCTGGTGCTGCTGTGGTGGGCGTCTTCCTACTATCAATACCCTCACGCCCACCTCCCGCACCTCCTCCTTTCTCCCCCCTCCGTGACCCGCAAAACCCCCTTTCGATCCTTCCGCCGCAAACTTCCTTCCATCCAGACCTCCCACGCTTCTCGACCTCCAAAACCACTCCCCTCCCCCCATCCTCCTCATGCCCATAATGGATGGAGACCTTAGCCTATCCCAGTCTCTGGGAGGCTTACGGATCGCAAACCCCGATGACTCGTCCTTGCATTCGTCCGAAGATGCGGTCACACCAGGCCCCATGGCCGCGTCGGCTCCAGCGACGTCCGATCTCACGCGCGAAGCGACATTGCCCGAACGGTCGGGCAGTGTCTTAACAGCCTCTCCGCCCCAACTCTCCATATTACCCTCCCACGACATCTCCCCAGATACACCCGATCCGTCATTCTCCCAGGAAAACCGCAGCTCAACCTACCTTCCCTATCTGGATCTGCAGCAGCAACCGTCGCCCCAATACACTCCCTACTCCGCCCACCACCATCAGTCCACCCCGTCCAATTCCTCCCGCCCCCTGTCGGGCCTATACGCGAACGGTTCCACCTCCACCTTGGCCGCCCGGGACTCCTACCGGATTCGCACCGATTCCGCCGCGTCGTCGGCGTCCGAAAGCCTCGCCCGGGCGGAGTCCCGCGGTGGTTCGGCCGCCTACCAGGCGGGCGTTCCCACCCGCGACAACAGCCACAGCGATCGCGCCTACCGAACTGCCCAATTGCCCACCGGAACTGCCCCCATCCGCCAGTCGTCACGGGCCCACGCGCGCGGGGCTCCGCCCGCTCAGCTGTCGGGCTCTCCCTACGGCATGGAAAATGGTCCGACCCCGAGCAGTGAGGAATGGCAGGATCGGGGCGCCGCCGTCTCCGTCCGGCAAGAGCTCGACTCCAGCGGGAAACCAGTCGCGCGATACATCAAAAAGGGGGTCCGCGACTTCATCTTCGCCAATACTCTCGGAGAAGGGTCATACAGCACCGTCGTGCTGGGGACGGACCGCCAGACCCTCAAGGAATACGCCATCAAGATCCTCGACAAGCGTCACATCATCAAGGAGAAGAAGGTCAAATATGTGAACATCGAGAAGGACACTCTGAATCGACTGACGGACCATCCGGGAATTGTACGACTCTACTATACCTTCCAGGACGAGCGCTCGCTATACTTTGTGCTGGATCTCTGCAAGGGCGGCGAGCTGTTAGGGGTGCTCAAACGCATGTCGAGTTTCGACGAGGATTGCACGCGCTTTTACGGTGCGCAGATCCTGGACACCATCGATTACATGCATAAGCGCGGCGTGATTCACCGCGACCTGAAACCCGAGAACGTGCTCCTGGATAGCCAGATGCACGTCAAGATCACCGACTTTGGCACCGCGAAGATCCTCAAGGCCGCCCGGAAACCCGGCACCAACTCGACCGGGGTGCCCCCGCTCGACGCGACCGACATCCCCGAGGAGGACCGGGCCAGCTCGTTCGTCGGCACGGCCGAGTATGTCAGCCCGGAACTGCTGACGGATAAGAACGCCTGCAAGGCCAGTGATCTGTGGGCCTTTGGCTGCATTATCTACCAACTGCTGGCCGGCCGGCCCCCGTTCAAGGCCGGGAACGAGTACCAGACCTTCCAGAAAATCGTCGCCCTCGACTACGAGTTTCCCCTCGGTTTCCCCGCCGTCGCGCGGGATCTCGTCGAGCGACTCCTCGTGTTGGATCCCGCTCGCCGGCTGCCTATCGAGCATATCAAGAACCACGAGTTCTTCCAAGGGATGACGTGGGGCCCCGAGCTGTGGAAGCGAAAAGCCCCGCGCCTGAAGGCCTATGTGCCGCCCCCGCGCGAGCCCATTAAGCTGAACGGCGCCGACGGCGGCGACAGCTACCCGCCCGGCATCAATGCCGCGCCCTCCCACCCCACCAACGCCAGTTCCCGCATGGTGCCGAGACTCATCACCGAGTTGCCGCCTCCCAGCCAGCTGGATATCGAGTGGTCCCCTGTGCTCACCAAGACCAATGAACGAATCTTGAAACTGGGGAATTGGGTCGTTCTGTCCTCCCCGGCCTCGCACAGCCCGGCGTCCAAGAACAGTGGCGGCGAGGTGGAACCGCACAAGAAGTTCTCGCGGTTCTTTGCTGGGAGTGCGACGAAGAAGCGACAGCGATTGGTCATGGTCACCTCCTCGGGGCGAATCATCATGGCGGCGTCGGGGGGAGACGAGAAGAAAGCCAAGCTGGAGCTGTCGCTGCTCGCACCGGGGACCCACTATCGCACGTCGGCGGATTCGAAAGGCTTCTCCTGTTGGATTGTAGACACGGTACGTCCCCCCTTTTTTTTTTTTTTTTTTTTGGTTTTTCAACCACCCGTCATACGTCTGGCTGTATCACTAATCGGCTCGTGTTTAGCGGGACAAACATTTTGTTTTCGAAGATCCCAAACCGTCGTCCAGCAACATGGGAGCCACCGCGTTGTCGGCACAGGAATGGCTCGATACGCTCGATCGCGCCAAGGAAATGGCTCTATCGCAGCAGAACGGTTATCCCGGTGACGATGCGTTCCGGGATCTGCCATCGGAACTGTCTAGCCAGGCCAACACTTTGGACCGGAGTTCCGACGTGCATCGCGACGGCCCATCGGCCGCACGAACCACCCTGGTCAAACATCAAGGCAACGATAACGAATCCGTCAAAGGACGGAAACGGTTCAGCAGACGCCATTCGAGGAATGGTTTATCCGCGGTATTTTAAAGGCCATCAGGGTTTTGGAATTACCCCCTTTCTTTCTTTTCTCTCTCCTATGTTTGGTTTGAAGTACTCGCTGCGCCGGGTCGCAAAATTCTCCACCATTTCACCGATATAGCGTTCGTGTTTCTTCTTCTCTTTCCTGCTTTCTTTTGTTTGATTCTGCAATTACCCAGCGTGGGCGACTGGTGTCGCTGAGACCTGTTTCCTTCTGTTCGATGTCATTCTGATAAGTTTTGGTCTTTTTGGCTTCTGTTGATACCAATGGGTTTCTCAGTTATGACCCCATCGTGAGGGTCTGTCTCATTTGTTTGCTTGCATTGTGAAAGTTTCATTTCTTTCTTTCTCTTATCTCTTCTCTTTTTTCTTTCTTTCTTTTTTTGGCGACATGATCAAACATTCTCTGCATTGCTTTTTTTCTTTCCAACGACAAGCGGGCTATATTATTCTTATTATTTTTACATTTATTTCGATCCCCTGAGAAGACTCCTGCATTTAGAAGGAAGCGCGCATGCATTTATGCCTCAGCTAGCTTGTTCTTTCTTCTCTTGTGCTTTTGATTCGATCCTATCCTGATCTCCAACCCCATAGTCCCTCCCCTGTACCTTCCGCACTACGCTATATGCTGGGGATCCTTGAGCTAGACCTGCTCAATGTCTCTTCTTTCTCATTTGTCGATATACAGAGACGAGTACACACACACACACCCCCCTGTCCGGTTTGTTAGCAGTCTAGTCTGGCAAGCGTGAAAACTGTTTCTGTCATTCTGTCATTCTATCTATACCACTCGGTTGATTATCTATCGTGAGCGGCTTCTCTTTCTCTTCTTCATCTTCATATCCCTCGTGGATTTTTGATCTTTTATTAGCCTTTGCTTCTTTTTATTTTGAGTTTTCTTTATTCTATCTTTTCTATCTCTCATAACTAGAGAATATCATCCGACTTTTCTTTCGTATTATTCACATTTTATTTGTAGGTATCTGGCAAGTCATACAATTGGCGTTCTGTACGCAGGGGTATAGATAACTATGTACATGTTTCATGAATACTACTACGTACTGCGTAAGAAGAGAGACGTAGGACGCATCCTAGGCTTGATAATCATATGAACAACCAATCAATGCGCGACTCGTCCAGCTCCTGGATCCAATCGAAGTCGTCATCGTCGTCGTTATCATCGTTCATGTCGTGAGTGAGCTGAGAAGAAGGAAACTCCCACCGACGACTGGCCTTCTCCATCCGCTTCTGGTCTCGCTTCCGCCACATCAGGCTCAACACCCATGCCGCGTTGCGGACATTGATGCTGGTGATGTCGTAGTATAGGGCGCTGAGTTTTTCCATGAGGAACGGGCGCAGCGACGGGTCGCGGCACTCTGCGCCTGCGATGAACGTCGGCCAGATGAGGCACTTGAAGTGGGGGTCTGCGACGGGGATCAGCGTGATCTGTCGGATGAGGAGGTTGGCGACGTCGCTGTGGTCGCTTGGGATGCCTAGTCCGCTGGCGAGGGAGAGCATGGGTCCATCGCGGGACCGGCAGAGCACGCGGCTTGCGTAGAGGTAGACCGAGGCGCGGTAGATGGTTGCTAGGGCAAGGCGCATGGTCAGGTCTGGGAGAAAGACGTAACTTTGCATTGTTTCCGCCCAGGCGGCTGGGTCGAAGGCTTGGATGTGGTGGAGGAAGGCCCGGGGCGACTCGAGCGGATCCGCGTTCTTGGCCAAGAAGGCTGACGGGAAGATCATCTTCGGGCGGGAGGTGGGGCCGGCGTTCGGTTCAGAGCACCAGGCGTGGACGATGAAGATGACCTCGAGCAGGTAGGCGGGACATCCTACCCACGTTGTTTCCTCCAGACGTTTTAAGACCGCCGCTGACATGTCGGTAGTTGAGTAGAATGGCTTTGAGAGGGAGCCTGGTCGCGCGAGTGTGGACCCCATGAGTTGGATGCTAGATGCGGGACACAATGGGTCAGTTTGACAGATGCCACCAGGGATATAGTTGGGAAAGGTGAAACCCACATGAGGCATCCGTCAATGGCGGATGTGTCTAGCCATTCGATGATTCCCTGTGCCTGGTTCCGATTATTGTCTTGTTGCCGCGTCTGTAGCAGTCTTTTCGCGCCTTCCAGATGGTATTTCCACGCTCCACCTCCCGATTCGATGGCATCCATCAAGGCGAAGACCACGATAGTGATTAGAGTCCGGGTGTCGTTGCGCAGGACCGGGTCTTCAATATCACGTGACAATTGCTGCAGCGCGCGTTGTTTCAGCCCGAGAAACTGCTCGTACGCCTTGGACGATGGGCGCCGCGCCATGGAGCTCATCGCAGCATCTTCGACCTCTTGCACGGACAGCCAGGACCCCGTCAAATTGGTACCGTCCGCCGACCACGGCATGAGTGAGCCGTCATCATGGGCCATGATTGCATAGTGCAAAGCTCCGGTGGCAGTGAGAGCATAGGTGAGACCGGGCGATCCACCAATCAGGGGGGTGAGTTCTAGAAACGGATTTTGCACGTCGGTGTACAAGGTCAGGTTGTTTGCTACATTCTGGTTGACTTGAGAGCGTTAGTGGCACCATCCAGAGGTATGAAGGACAGATGGCTCTTATTCACGTACAATGAACGACGTAGAACCGCATCAGTGGGTTCAAGTCCTGAAATAGGGGGTCCACGAGGATCCGAGGCGGAGAATTATATGCCATGAGAGTCGTTGACCTCTGCGGAGGCATCGTCTCCGTCTGATTGTCTCGCTGTGAATCATGCGACGGTCCCACCATGGAAGAATCTTTGCCCTCGGAGTCGGTCGAATCCTTCATATTCTGGTCAAAACTGAGACCCATCATTTTGCCTCGACTGGCCAAGCCACCTTTCACCCACACAAGAGGCTTCTGGTATCCCAGACATTCCTTCCCCGCATCCCGGCATTTTCGACATGATGGGAGGCCATTGTCGCAAATGACCCGGCGGCGACGACAGGTATAGCAGCCCTTCGTCATTACGGGATACTCAAGCTCCTAAATGCTTGGGATAGGTAATTCAGCATGGTATTCGTCATTCTCAAAGCGTATACGATCAGGAGGAATCGCCGGTCAAGCAAGTCGAGAGGGATCTGGCGAACATTTCTCCAAGATGAGAGATGGCGCGGGTGGATGCGGAGGGAGGATGGTCGCGGATCAAGGATTGGAGGTAGCGGGGTGACAGAATGAGGTATGTTCCCTCTATAACGGCAACTCCATCAGAGACCGATGATGAGGATGAAGCTGGTGAAAACGAGGAAAAGCTTCTCCGGAGTCGGCCGGGGAAACCAGATGAGTTTATGTCCCGATCGGGTAAAAAAACACCGATCATGTGCCTGGCGGGGTATTGCTGAGTCACAATACAGATGACTAATTATGCAGTTGTATTGTCATTGAGATTCGGATTCAGATTCACTTCTCGATTTCAGATCCAGTTTCAGATCCACGCGTCGATCGGATAGAAACGTCGTCGATGTCTTCATCTCTTTCTCATGATTGAGTCGCTTAGAAAGCCATTGTTTCGCATTGACCCAATCCATCGGAGACTCTAGAGTCCGGTATGATGTCAGAGTGAAATGCAGAGAAAGGTCAGAGTCTGGATGGCTGATCTCCAGGTGATCCAGTTTCCACCGGTATCAGTTTAATTGTCGGCAATCGTCACCGTGGATTGACTTCAATATCAACGGGGTTTCCAAGGATTCATGATCGATGGTTCCGTCCCCTCATCAGTGGCTCTGGATTGTGTTGGATCTACCCCTGCATCATTCCATACACGGTCTCCCACCAGAGACTAGTCCCATCATTGGAATCGCCCATTTGTTTGTTTACGATTGTGGTTCTGACGGTGATTGATTAGCTGCAGTCCCACTTGCAGCTGGTGGACCCCATTCCATCATATCAGCGCCCACCTTTTCCCTTGTTGTCGTTTTTCATTTCTGGTCCAACCACCTGGCTCTCTGCCTCGACACCTTCGGTGCCTTCTGAAACCCTCTTCGAGGATCGAACCGTGAGGCTTGATTCGCCCGTTTGTTTGGCGCGGCGGGGATTAGCAGCTGTGGGAAATCCGCCACACGACAGACTACGTCCAACTCCTGGTCGCCTTCGATAAAATCCCTCCGACAACAACCACCCGGTCCCTCCGCTCCATCCGCTTGTTCCGGTTTCTCGAACCTCGCGTCGCGCTGGATCTTGGATGAAGGCCCGCATACGGCGGTCTGGTGTTCGATCACCGCGCACTCGGTTTCTGAAGCGCCGGGGCTGATCATGACCACCAAGGGTCCTTCTGCTACCACCAGTGCTGTCACTACCGCCGATATGGTCTCTCAGGCCCAAGTACTCGATCGCTCTGTGCCTATGCCGAGTGCTCCATCGTCGGTGTCTCGCCACTCGACCAGCCGGCGACATCGCTCCAGTCGCTCCCACCATGGTGGTCTCGCCCACCAGTCCCAAAATGACTTTCCAATCTTCACCCACACCGGCGACGTGGAGATCGTGATCCGCGCGAACAGCCAGGAGAGGCGATATCTTGTTCACCGGCTGATCCTTTGCCAGTGCTCGGGATTTTTCGAGGCGAGTACGCGTGAGGAGTGGTCGCGACAAGCGCCCTCCAAGCCCTCCAATCCGGACCCAGGGTTCATGTCGAGAATCAGCGAAGATAACTCGTCGTTGTCAAATGGATCAACTCTGGCCCAGTCGGAAACTGGAGCACTGAACTGGCCTCAAGAAAAGCGAAGATGGCGGTACGAGTTGGACTGGGACAACAAGGCGGAGGACGAGGAGCCGATACTTGTCCAGAAGGTTCGTACATATGCTGCATGCGCGTGTTCGCGTTTTTTTATCTGACAGGCTCTAATGTACACCGTTAGGCCCCAAGCTTTTCCAGTGCCTTCACGAGCGATGCATGTCAATCCCCTTCTGCAATGACCAAACCTTCCAACACGCAAGCGGGCTTTGTACGGTCGATGGCGAACCTGGCTGGGATGCAGTCCGTGGTGAATGTCCCGCACGCATCGCGGATGGGGAACGCGGGGGTGGACCCGATCATCCGCGACTACGATAATCTCTTCCGTCTGTTTTACAACTACGCGCCAGTGCTCAACAGCGTCAACATCGCCACGGCGTACTCGGAGTGCAGGTCGCTCCTCGCGCTTGCCGACATGTACGATGCGCTCCCAGTCACCGGGCCTCGGGTAGACCACCATCTTCTCGGTTTTGGGTCGCGTCTGTTCAAACAAATCGCAAAATATCCACCGAGCTACCTGAAGCTAGGCTACCTCGCAAGGAGTCGGGTCATCTTCGCAGAAGCCCTGATCCATGTGGTCGGACAATGGCCCGCAGGCCTGCCTCACTTGCGGAACGGGCCCTACTCCCCCTTACCGAGCACCGTACTGGACATCATCGAGGACAAGGTGGAGGATCTCGAATACATGAAGGCGCGCATCGACTCCAAGCTCCTGCGGCTGACCTTGACCACCTCGCGTGGCGAGCGCGTCAGTCCGACCAACGCCTATCTCGACTGGCTAGCTATCTCGCTCTTCCGACAGTGGCTAGTCGACAGCACGACGCCCCCGCCAGCTCCCATTCTCAAGAACACGTCCGCGAATGCCTATCCAGCCACGAACAACCCCACCGGTCGCTCCTCACAGTCAGCCAGCCACCACCGGCAACAGGACCACCACTCATCATCGACGGCCTCCAAACCCAGCGCCTCCCCTCTGTCCTCCGCCCAGGTATACCGACTCATCGGCACGCCCTCCTCACAAGCCTACCTCCCACACGACGAGCTCAAAAAGTTCCTCAAAGTCCACCCCACCCCGTCCTCCGAGTCCCTCTACACACGCGACATCCTCAAACGCTTCGAGCGCAAGATGGACGAGATCAAGCGTCTCGCGCGGGAAATAGTCAAGCCGCTGATGCGAAACTTCCTCGAGCTAGATCTGAAGGGCGGAGAATTCAGCGACACAGGTCTTCCTTATCTGACTTGCATCAAGGTGGAAGATGAAGATATCCCATGGAGCTGATCCTTTCCGCGCACACACCCTCCTCTTCCTCTATTTCTTTTTTTTTTGGGTTTCATTCTATTTTCGGTAGGTGTTTTCATTCCAGTCGAGCCGGTCGCCAACTATTATGATGACGATGATGATGATGATGTTGATGATGCGCGGAGTCTCAATTTTACGTTTACGTTCACTTGCATGTTAATGTTGATGTTGATATTGATGTTTATGTTCATGTTTCTACGCTCATGTCTTCACGAAGTTACGATATCCATTTTACTTTTAGGTCAGTGCCTCTGTATTCCATATACGGGTTATGAAGAGACTTCTTTGCTGCATACACGTGTTTCATGTTTTGATATGGAATGATATTATGATATGATTCTTGCTGTCTCCGTATCATCTCGTAGACACTGATTCATGGACGGCACGCTTCTTTAGAACGGAGGAATAGTGATGAAAGTGGTAAACGCTCCCTTAATTGGCGACATCGATCGTAACTATAATATACATACATACACATCATCTAATTTAATATACAGCATGTTTGCTAGCGGCAGTGCCACCCCCCCTCCCCTAATTCTTCCCAATCACATCTATGCCACCCATCCACGATCGCAACGCCTCCGGAACAATCACCACCTTGCGCTCCGCATCCCACCCATTCTCAAGAATGGCAGCCAGGACGCGCGGGACGGCCATCGCCGTACCGTTGACCGTGTGCGGGAATCGAGAGTCCTTGGCTGAGCCGCCGCGCACGCGCGTCCCCAGTCGTCGACTCTGGTAATCCGTGCAGATGGAGGCCGACGTGACCTCGCCCCATGCGGAGTCGAGGTCGGGAACCTCGGAGGGGGACGAAGAAGAGCGCAGACGCGAGGGGAAGAGAGCCTCGATGTCGCGCTTGCGGCTGGCGCTGGCGCCTAGGTCTGTGGTGGGCATCTCGAGCACGCGGCACGGGAGGCCGAGGGAAGTGAGGATCTCGGTCTGGATGGCGAGGAGGTCGGCGAAGAGGTCGTCTGAGGTGGGGTTGTTCCCGGGCGCCTTGCCCTCTGCGGCGGCGACGTTGTCGGCCCAGCCGAACATTTCGACCTTGGTGAATTCGTGCACGCGGTACAAACCCTTGGTGTCCACGCCGCGGGACCCAGCCTCGGCGCGATAGCAGCGACTCGGGCCTACCAGTTTGACGGGTAGGTCGGCGGCGTCGAAGTCACGCCCTGCGTGCATGGCGGCTAGTGGGATCTCGGCGGTGCCGGTTAGCGATCGCTGCGGTTTGGACTTGTCTTTGTCGCTCTGCTCGATGGACCAGATCTGTTGCTCGTTGTGCTGGTCGCGGGGCTGGAACCCGCATGCTTCGGCGATGTAGGAGTAGACGATTGAAGGCGGCGACACCGGTTTCCAGCCGTGCTTGCGGGCGACACTCAGGGCGTACTGGATCAGGGCCTGTTCCATGAGCGCGCCCTCATTCGTGAGGAAGTACCAGCCCCAGCCGGTGGTCGTTGCGGAGCTGGTGAAATCGATCAGGCCGAGCGAGGTGCCGATCGCGACGTGTGAGCGGGTGGGGTCGGGATGCCGGACCCAATCTGGCGGGGCGTCGGGGTTGAAATTGAGGTATTCGACGAGCGTAGGTTCCGTGCCGACCGGAGTGTCTGCGCTCGACAGGTTGGGAAGCGAGAGGGCGAGCCGGTGAATCTCGTCTGTGCAAGTGGTCCGCCGCGAGGTCATCGTGAGCGATTGATCCTTCAATTTCTGAGCTTCCGCGCGGAGGGATGCAAGTTCATTCTGTTGTTTCCCATCGTTTTCCTTCCCCTCGGTTCCCTGTTGTTGCTGTTG